TTTTGTTTGGTTGGTTTTTGTTTGGTTGGTTTTTGTTTGGTTGGTTTGGTTTTTTGTTTAACAATGAAAAATGTCTGTGTAACTTAAAAGCGGATTTTCACTTTCTTGGTCTTGTGAAGCTGTCTACTTTGGTCTTCTATTAATTTTTATAAGTATCTCAGATTTAATGCAGTTAAAGGGGCCTAATTCAGGTGTGCTCTGGCTGTAACTGAAATGATTGAGTACAGATGTTATGAATCAACAAAACAATCTAAAGGAAACTTTTAACTACTACACAGCTAGCAAAGCTCACAGCTACGTATTTTCTTTTTTTTTTTTTTTCTCTTTTCAGAGTAGGGAGCAGGGAAGTGTCTTAGAAGAAACTTCCTGTTGGAATGCCTCACACCTGCAGCTGCAGCTCTGCAGGTTTCCATGCTGCTGTTTGCTCTTCCTGCACAATATTTCATATCCTAGTGGTATGGAACAGACTCTGTTGAATGCATCCAAATAACAGAGAGGTTGTAAGAGTCTCCTTCCCTACTGCATTTATTTATAAGACAGTTCTCTTTCTCATCCCCAATGACCCTTTGTCCTGGAAAGCTGGAGTGTGGGTGGGACACATTGGCTATTCCTATACCAAAACAACATTCAAATCATACCTCAGACATTTTTGTGGCTTAAGGGAACTGTATTTAGTTGTTTAACGATGTCCTTCAAATTTGAATAGCAACCATTATTTTTTCCCACAAAAATCGGTACAGTCTTCTTGCATGACTATGCCTTAATTTCATTCTGCTTTGGATATTTCAATATGTGTTACTGTGGGTTATGTCCCTTCCAAAAGGGGAAAATGAAGCATTTGATGAGTAACACTATTTCTAATTTTCCATCATGTTTTGACACTTACAGATTTTCTTGCACAGTATGACTCAGTACAGACTCTTACCCAACAAAATTTATTCATAGTGAATTAGTTAAGGCAGTCACAATGATAGAATTAAGTAAGGAGTGCCATTCTGTATATGAATTAGAGAAGTTATGTATTGACAGAGTCCCACACATCCATCTTAAAATGTAAAGTGGAGAATATTACATCAGATCTAAATTTTTCATAGTGGTAACCATCGGCAAACATTGGTATCTTGAAAATGAACCATGCAAAGAGAGACTTAGTTTAAACAGTGCAGCCTGTGCAGTGCACTGGCTGTGTAGTTCATCTGTGGAACTCAAATACATGAAGTAATAAGAGCAAAAGATTGGCCTGATTAAAAAAAGAACTAAGCCTGGCTTTGTGTGTAAAGACCTAGAGTTAAATAATTTTCAGTCCTCATGGCATGAGTCAACTACTTACTATTTCAATTTATGCAAAAACATTTAAGCTCTTTTTAATAGTCTTTTGATTATGTGCACCATTTTTTGAATGTTTGATGCTCAGTCTTCTCAAGTAACTGTCGAAACTGCAGAATCTGATGCAATTTAGCAATTCCTAAGGTCTGAGTAGAGGAAGCTAGAAACCTCGTAATGAAAAATGGTATTTTCTAAAATTTACTTATGGTTTACTGGTACAAGTGATGATTGAGAGAATGTTCATTTGCAATCTTGATATTAATCTTGAGGAGAACCTGTTCCTAGTCACTGACCTTTTTTTCCTGTTTCCTACAGAAGCCTTAAAGTTAAATATTAAAAAGCTATATAAAAATACTAGAGAAGGTTTTAAAACCAGTATGATGACAGTTTTTACTACTAAAGGATAACTGCCTCTTGGAGCTGCTCTACAAGACCTTACTTGAGTCTGGATGCATGGTCAAATCATTTAAAGCTGTGGCTATCGAAGACAAGGTAGGGTGTTACATACATGGTTTCTTCTTAACAAGAAGGTATGCTGTGGGGAAAAAAATGACAAAGAGGAAGCATCTCTCATTTGCTTGTTGAGCCTGATTTAGAACTTGAAAACCTTGTGCCTATTTTCTACACATACATCAAAATTTGAACTCCATGCGAAACTAAACGTAAATCATGGCAGTAATTTTATACGTTTTTTCCTCTAAATTTATCTGACTGTGAAGTCAGGATGACTAACCATAATAATGTTTGTAAGCAGCTACATGTTTGTGGGATGAGATCCTACCACACTGGATGAATGTCTTATGCACTATATGGTAGTTCAAGAAAACTTGAAATTGAATTAGGAAACACAGGTGGAAAATTTGTGGGTTTAAGAGGAAGGAGAATCTTGATTATTGGTCATGTGACAGTGAGTTGGTCTAGAAAAAATAAAATTACATCCATTTATATATACACACCATTTTAATTTAAGAAGACTGCTCACAGACTTCTTTTGGGAGTTTGAACGGCTTATTTGTGAAATTGAATTCTTGTACAGTAGAAATACTCCACAGGTTTTACCTTGTCTGGACCTTCAAAGATCCTTTATTATTGATCCATGTACAATAATCAAGGGTGTCAAGTCCTCTGAACTGTGGAGGATCCAGACTTAGTTTTGCTCCCAGCAAAACCTAGGGGAACGGTCTATGACTGGAAACAGAAACTGTGCTCTTCTTAGGTTCACCATATATTGCTTTGCAACTTTGTGGAAAGCTCCATGCATATCTAAAGATAAAGACCAAATGATCCTTTGATTTTTTGTATATAGTTGGAGCTGCTTTTCTTCTGAATATATTATAAATAATTGGTTATCCTAAAAATAATGGCATTTGAGACCTTCCAAACCTACCATATGAGCTGCTGTCATGCAGTTGGACAAGTGAAGCTATTTGCCCATTCCTCTTTCTGTTAAAAGGTATTCGTCAACCTTAAGTCTTCCTACACATCTGAGCTAAACCAAAACTTTTTAAAAGAGCATTGTTTGCACAGTTATGGAACCTGTGTTCACTTCCTTCCAGGCAGGGTAAAGGGAGTAAGACTGAAAGAGGGACACCACCTGAAAGTGGTGGACCACCATCAAAGAGGAAGGAGACCAGGACAACCTCTAGTTCTCTGGCACCAAAAGATTGCTGGCTAGTTTGGTGGAGAATGTTAACCCAAATACCTCTGTTCATAGACTGTTGCTGTTACATTGTCTGCAGAAGGAGTATTTGAAAGCTTCCCACCCTGTAAATGTTCAGTTTGCCCATTGTTTATTTACCCTTTCTCTTTTTCACAATAGCAATGGAAAACATAAGCCATTTCTCCTTTCTAAAGGAGAAATTAAATTCAGAAGAAATTCAATCTAGTGCAGAAGGAAAAGCTCTACTTACTGCAGCCTTAAGCTGGGACTTATAGCCAGACACCTTGTCCATACCAGTGTTAACCAATTTTTAAAGATTTTACAAAAGATACTGAAGAATCACTCTGTTAGAATTCAGAATAGTATTTGCTCACCTCTATAAAATAAATGGGTTTCTTTCCTCTAATACAGAAATTCTGATGCAACTGTAGTTACATATTCAAAGAAATCAGATTCATACTGTTTTTTCCTGTTGGAACAAAGTAGTTTTTCTTGTGTATTCCTTAAATGTAGTTTCAACGTAAAACACTTATATAGGCTTCAAATTGTGAAGAAGTTTGTGTCAAAGGCTTTGCAGTATTCCTCTCTTCAGACAAACAGCTAAGATAGGATAATTGGCCTTCTGATTATTACTGAAACTCAGTTTCTAAAGACCTTGTTTGAAAGTTGGGTTATTAATTTTACATTTTAGGAATTGGTACTATGGAGAAAAGAAAACTAAAAGTGGTGACAATGAAGCAAAGCCCCGTTCTTATTTTGCAGGTATTGAAGTCTTCGCAATCCTTTTGTATCTTGCGTGTGATATTATTGTCTATAAGGTCTTCTATAGTAGATTTCTGTATTTAGTTTGTAAATAGTAGTCTTTTTTTTCTTTTCCCTTCTCTCTAAACATGAGTAAGCAAAACAGAAGATGTAAAATCCAAGGCCTTTCCCCCGTGTTGTGTATCAATATCAACATGATATATTACATGTATCTATGTTATTGAATACATCTGAGTGTGCCTATTTTGTAGTGACATATGAACACTGGTACAGTTTTCCCTTGATTCAAATGAACTGATTTAGATCAACTTCATAAAAGGAAAAAGAAACAATTGACCGGTCTGTTCCTGGGAAAAAGTTCCCTGCAATCAGACTGAGTAGAAGAATTCTGTGACCTAACCTGGAAAAAACTAATGTCACAAGCAGTTACTGTGTGTAAGCACTGTAAAATACTGTACATAAGGCTTAACTAATTGTCAAATGCACACACCTTTAATGCTTTCCAAAACCCTGTTAAGTCCCCTATGTAATATCAAAGGCATACAAATAGAAAACCACCTTCCTTAGTGCATGCTGCTTTCTCAAATATCATAGTAATATTCTGGGGGAGAAAAAAAAGCACCTGTTTTTCTTTAGTTCACCTTGTCAGTTCTCTTCTGGTAGAAGTCAGAAGAATTTCTGTTTAAATGTTGATCAAACTCTTATCCTTGTTAAGTCTCCTTCTTTGTTAAATTAGAATCAACTCAAGTTCATAGTCCAAAGCCTGAATATGTTCAGTTCTGTATGGGACAGGTAATAAGTCACAAAAGATTTGGCTATTCAGGAGTCATTGTCGGATGGGATGTAACAGCTGACACTCCAGAAGAATGGCTTCACCCCAAATATCCTCCAAGGAAACACGTTTGAATGTACTAAACTCTCGCTTTATTAATACATACATAGAATAACTCAGGTTAAGAAAACACTCAGAAATACTATTTCAGACCTCCTTCCTGCTATCCTACTGGGAAATACTCCAGAGTCCCATATCACTTGTGCAGCTGAGTGGTACCTCCACTGCTTCTGTGCTGTGGTCCCAGTAGAGCTTGGCTTTTGCACCACTGGTTGATTAAGCTTCACTGGTCAGGATTTTACTGGACGTATCTCAAATTAAAATTACTCAATTTTAATACACAGGCTGTATTTAAAGTAGCAGTGTCAACCTATTATGTCTGAATGGATTTCTTGTGCTGTGCTACTAAAGTTGAGAGGATGTGAAATCTTTTATATGATCATCCATAACTGGTGACATCTTCATTGCACCTAAGAAATGCAAGTAATTGTCTGTGTTTAACTAGTTTGTTAGCTGGATACTTGGAGTGCAAATCTATTTAAAAACACATTTTTGTTAGAATTCTTGAAGCTTTTGAATTTCTCTAGCCTAAGTACTTGTTGTCCTTGAAAAATCAGACGCTAAATCTTTGTTGACAGTGCTGATCTGGTAATACAGTGCTACTGGCCTACTCTGTATGCCACTGACATGCTGCTTAAGTGGCAGGAAGACACTAATCACGACGAAATTTCCTGAAAATGAGGAAAAAATGAAAAACTTTGCCTGTAGCAGAGAATTCATGTTCAACTGGGAACAGATATTCAGTCCTGTTTTGTGCATTTGGATAATAACTGCTGTTATTTTATCCAACTGTTGCTCATCTTTGGCTCCTAAAACACCTGCATCCTTGCTTTCTTTTCTCCTCTCAGTGGCATTGTCACCAGCTGAAATCCCAAGAATTTCCTGGCAGACACTCCTATTCTTTTTATGTACCTTATATTGTTCTACTCTCCCAGTGGCCTTGTATTCATCTTTATTGCTTCAATTTCAATAGCAATGGCACATGGTTTAAGTGTGTCTTTTGCTGGCTTTGGTATTTTTTAATTGCCTTTACCTATCACGTTACATGCATCAGCTATGCAAATGCCTTCTGACCTCTAGGTGGCAATTACTAAGCTTGGTCCTTGCAAATCCCCTTGAAACATCAGCCAGGCTTTCAGCCCAGCTTTTCCTTGCCTTCCTCTGACTTCGACATCTTTACTAAATTGCTGAGCAGAGGCAAGTGCCTGTCACGCTGATCGATACTGACTGCTTCATAAACTCCGGCCATCTGTATTCATCCATCACTTTTTTGTGTTTAGATTCTGGGTTACTTTGGGCAGGAATGTTTATGGATAGCAATGAACATGGTGGGACCTTGGCTCAGGATTTGTTTCCATAGGTACTTCTCTGATGGAAGATTTATATATATACACACATAGAAGTTGCCTTAGCTCTCTCCAGGATCAGGACCATGACTGTTGGAGGTGGCATTATGTTCTGAATTTGCCTCTTCCTCTCTGGAGTTCTCTTGCCACTTGTGAAGGAAGAAGGGTCATAACACATTGTCATGGGACCTACATACAAAAAGCAGGGATATTACAAGGTCTGCAGGAGAAAAGATTAATTAAAATTTTGAGTCTTAAAAAATGTTTCAGATGTGGCAAGAATTTTGTGTATTTCAGTTCTGATTGCTTTATATTTAATTTTCCAAACTGACCCTGGTAAAATAATAAAAATGAACTGGGTGTATGTATATATCAAGTGGATTTAGGTTCTGTAAGCCTACTGAGAGTTAACTGATTATAATACGTAATCTTTAGTCAGCATCTCTCTTTGAGGCTATTTATTTTCTTTCTATTTTTACAGGATCTAAAAAATACTCCTCACTATCGAATTCTAATTAACAAAGCAAATGGATTTAGCAAAACTACAGTGTATGTTCCGAGGAAGAGATAACAATTATTATGGGATTAAAGGTAGTATTTATTTTTTATTCAGTTGCAACTTGATTGTTATCCTGTATATTTTAAAAGTTGGATGACCTTTGGCTTAATAGATACTACCTACGTTGCAAAGTTAGTGAAAACTAATAGAGAAAGCAGATAAATAAATTACTGCTGTACTTTTAAGCACGGGTTTTTGGAAACTGAAAAATGACCAAACTCAAGTACTACCCACTATGAAGTATCCAACCGTTGAGTTTTTTAAGTGTTTTAGCAATTTGATTTCTGTTATGCACAGGCTGTTGCAGACACAGACTTTTGTTTTAGGATTTCTGCTGGATCTAGCAAAGTATGTTGGTTTCTCAATGCTACTCTGAAAAATCTGCATTTCAAACAGCTCCTGCTCAGCTGCTGCCCAGCCTGAAGAATGTCTCCTTTCTTAACTGCAAAACTCTTTGGGAGCCAAAATATCTGCTTTGCGTATCAGGGTTGGAGTAGCTTTTGATTTCCATCTTATGCAAGGCATACCTGATTTTTAAACTAGTTTTGAGATTTTTATCCAGAAAACAACCTTCAGGTATGCATGCCACATACCAGTGGCTTTTTGCCAGGAAGCCCTGGCTGCTGTGGTGCCCTCTTTTAAATTGTAGTTAGTCTCTGTGTTTAAAATGACAGCAAGTAGGTGAATCATTCGTCTAACAGGAGATGCTTGGTCTAGTCAGATGAGATTCGAATTGACATTTTCTGCATTTTGGGAGATGCAGAAAGAATCACGTAAGTCAGGCTGGCCTAAAGACTCTCCATGCTCTCTCTTGGAACTGCTGCCCATAAAGGATTCCCCCTCAATCACAGTGTGACACAATTACCTCTTTTCTTTGGGAGAAGCCTTAGTTAGTCCTTCTGTTTTAGCCAGCCTTGATATACAAAATGTGTTAACATGCCTGAACTTAGAAGCAGAAACGCCACCATCCTACATGAGTGTCGTAAGTATTTAAAATTGGCTTCTGTCCACTCTGTGTCTAAAAAAATAACCTTTCATTATGTCAGTCAGCTGGCTACCTTCAGTTTCCTTTATATTCCATGGGGAGAAACAGATACCTCATCTTAAATATTCCTCTTGTGGAAACTAGCCTTTAAGATATCAGATTGCTTTATTCACCTGCATGGCAGGTCAATTCTCCACACAGATTATGAGGGGAACTGATGGTACAAAGCTCACAAAACCAGGTATTTTAAAGTTGTCTAGCTGAAATTAATTTCAGATTGTGAATCATGCCTATACTTCAAGTTCAAAAGATCTGTGGATTGCCCTCATTCAGCCTTTCCTACAGCCTAATAGGCACAGTAATTTCCTGAAGAGAGGAGTGACCAGAAAATGCTTAGACTTGTCATAACTCTTTCCCAGTAGACAGTTCTCAGCAGCTCACCGTGGGCTTCCCACATCACGACAAGGCTTGTAACTTGGACTGCCCTTTGTGGGTTTGCATCTTCATGCTGGACATTGCAGTACCTAAGGCCATCACCTTGGTGTGTCTTCACCATTTCCTCCACTGCTTTTTTATGTTCCTGCTGCCTCACTGGATTAGGTAACTGATCCAGCTAAAAGAAATAACAAATAGTTCTAACAGCAACACGAGTGGGAACTACTTCAATAAGAAACAGTGCTGATTTTAAACACTGATGCTGGTGTAAATCTAGCGTGTAACATCCCATATGGTATGTTCAACACTGGCAGAGTACTTGAAGAAAGCTGCTGTTCTGATGACAGAAATTAGGTTAAGGTGCACGAAAAATCCCACTGAACGTATCTCTATGTACATGAAAAATTCATTAGGAGTTTTCAAAAAGTTAACTGTAGCAACTTTGATGATTTATTTCAGTATCAGATTGTATTTATTTCCAATTCTGGTGCTTCTTTGTTTCTCAGGTGCATCACCCTGATATGGAAACCTACTTCAGAGGATATGATGGATCAAAATATATTATGCAGCCATGGTTGAAAAAACTCTATCCTCATGACTGAGCACTTCAGTGTCTGTACATGTAATGAACGTCCAGACAACAGATGTCCTTTTTAAACTTGAGCAAACAGACACCAGGATAAAATGTGTAATTTTTCCTATGACAAAATAAAACATTCCTAAGCACTTTTTATGTTGAACACTCCATTTTGTTAGAAGTGAACACATTGCATATTCAGTTTACCATGACTCAGGGTGGGGATTAATTTCTTTAGAGATTTGGGAGGAAAGGTGTAAATGTAGCCCAGTTTCAGCCAGGAGTACCAAAGGTTTTGTGCATCAAATATCTTGCTGTTTTACAGGGGCCAGAGGAATAAGATAAACAGTTGTGAACTGCACTTACAGAATTAATTGTAACATTAATTTTAGGGGATAGAACTACTATAAGAATAAAGTAAAAAACAACAAAAACCTCAAGAAAGCATAAAAATTTTATTAAGAAAATGTATAGGATTTGAAAGTTTCTAGAGCAACTTGTTTCTTCTGTTTTCTTTTCCTTTTATCTCAAACACAGCAAACACTCTAGAAGATGCATAAGCAGTAGCACTCTGGATTCTTTCCTGCAGAGTCAGTGAATCAGGAGAGCGTGGCAGGTAACTGTCTATGTGGCCTCCCCATTCTTTTGTTTCTTCTTCTTTTATCAGTAAAGGTTTTCCCAATGACTGGCCAAACAGTCGACAGACTTCCTGAGCTTTCCGCTGTGTGTTTCCAACAGCAGCAACACATACTTGACGGCTGAGAGGTAGAAGTAGCAGCACAATAACAAGCAGGGCCAACTGATGTACAAGTGTTCCTGCCAAGCCCTTTTGTGCAACTGAATAGATGTTAAGGCACAGCACCTTCCCCCAGCTTCTGGGCCACAGCTTGGGCATTTGAGGGGAGAGTGTGGGGAAAATGTCAGCATCCTCATGAGTTCCAGTCAAGCATTTCTAACACCTGTATGCTGCAGGCATCCCAGTGGCCCAGCTGCCAGGCATACTAGCACCTGTTTAACCTCACTGGCCTGATTCCCTGATCTCCTGTGTACATACCTCTGACATACACTTTTGACACCTCCACAACCATTAAAAGCAGCTAATTGAGCTTGCTTCTTGGACCAAGCATAATTATTTTTTTTAAAGAAGAAACCCCAACCAAGATTAAACTTCCTTCTGTCCTCCCCCCCCCCGAAGTCAGTGGGAGAAGCCAGACTTTGAATAGTCAATGCCTAAAACATGTCAAGATCATGAGCTTCAGGGCAGCATATTTCAATGCTGAGGAAATGCCAGACCTGCTTCCTTCCAGATCATGTCAGCAGCTAAGAGTAATGGGAATTGGCAAGGGTACTTAGAATTATCAAGCTCTGGTAAACTCTTCCACCTTCATGAATAAATACAAATTAAATCTACACGTGCTGATGGAACCAAAGCCAAATTCTGTTGACCTAGCATTCACAGAAGATTATACTCCCAGTGGAAATCTGTGGGAGAATATTTTTTATTACATTCTGCTTTTTCACCTAGCTCTATCTTTGGGGCTGAACAGCATTAATTTATAAGTTATACTTAAAACAAATGCTGAAATCTTTGAACATAAATTTTAGTAAGTGTGAAGGAAACTATTTACTCCCATTTCAAACAGCATAAGTTATGTACTTATGTTAACTGAGGCTGTAAAATTTGTGGCGTGTGAGAGAACTTACCGAAGGGTGTCTATGGCTTCTGGTGTATGGTAGAAATGAGGTGGACTGATGGTAACAGCGGTTCCTAACTTTTCAGTGAGTAGATTGCAAACAGTCTGCATTTTTCCAAAATCACTGAATATAATACTGACCTGGGAGTGAACACAGACATCACATGAGTAATTTTTTCATTTTCCACTATCAATACTTGTATTTAAATCAGTATAAAGCCAGACATGTACAAGGCAACTAAACATAATAGTCCTGTATATAACTCCAACATTTATTTACTTAAAAGACTTTTACATAGCTCCAGAGACTATTATTAGGTTTGCAACAAAAGAAGTTTGTTAAATGGTTTAAAACTGAGGATTAAGAAATCCCTTTTTGTGAGGAAGTATGGCATTCTTGGTATGAGACAATCTGAAGAATGAATGTGCTCTTTGGGGCACATGACTAAATGCATCCTGGTTCTTCCCTTTTTAGATTACTAGATGTTAATTATGAAGAAGTGCAAGCAAAATGATGTGGAAAACAATGCACGGGAAGAAAAATTACATTTTAATTCCAAGCATTAGGTTCAAGAAACCTAAGATATGAGATTAAGCCTAGCCCAGTTCAGCGTAGAGTGGGCTCCAAATCCTGTGTTGTCTGAACAGACTCACTGCAGTGCCTACAGAGAACTGGGCACTTCAGTTCAGGGACTTGGATTAAAAACAAATTAAACACCTAGCTGTTGCTGGCTTTGGCAATAAGAAGCATTAAATGCAGATGCATTAGGAATTCAGGTGATTTCCCAAATGCTACAAAGCAGATATCACTATCAGCCCTAGATCCAGAGCCCTACAGCCTTCCTTGTGGGAAGTGCTGGCCAGGCAGCGGCTTTCCAGGCAGGAGCCAGCCCTTCTCTGTGGCAGAGCACAGTTGTCAGGAGTGAAACAGCACTCAGGAACCAGAAATTCAGGGTCCCAAACTTTTTTTAGAAGAGCTAAAGCCTCATCTTCACTTCCCAGTATAGTGCTCTCACCCCAAGTCAGGCTCAACTTCTCTCTTATCCCTGACTCCTTTCTTTTTGCATAGTAATACAGCTTCAATAGGTGGGGAAGCAAAAAACTGTAGTAAAGAAAATTCTGCTGCCAAACCCTGTGACATACAATTGCCCTTGTGATTGCTGCAGTCCTGTGAAGGGATATGGCACAAAAATCCAAGTTATGGCATGTCAGCTGCACTGCAGCAGCTTCCTGTGTGCGTACCATAGATTCATCTTGTGGAAAATGAGACAATTCAAAGATGCTGAGTCTCTCAGTGAGAGAGAAGGGAGGTACTTCATATACAGGGTAAGATAAAAAGTGGTTATTGACAATTATCATAACGTAAATAATGTTCATATCTTGTTACCCTTGACAGCCTCTCGGTGTAGTACTTGCACCTCACCCTGGCTTGGATCCTTGCACGGGCTCAGTGGCTTTTCAACACAGCTGAGCCAAAGCTGAGCTTAGGGCCTTAGAAACTGACCAAGATGGAGTGGCAGGGCACATCCATCTTCTGTGTGGACAAAGGGTCACGCCTATTGTTCAAAATTGCAACAAATCTGCATCTTCACCTCAGCTGCACATCCTTTATCTGCAACTTGGGGATTCAATCACTTTCTGGAAGGTGCAGTATCAATTTGAACAGAGACTGAAGATGAGGCTACACCTAGATTTCTTTCTTCAGTAGGAGTTCTTGCCATACATATAAAAAGCATATATCCCCTTATGATGTTTTGTCAGAAATATGTCATAGCTGTATCTTGTGGAAATTTGAAAGTCTCACTATGAGGGGCTGTCATAGTGTTTTCCAGATTGCTATCAGCATTTCCAAGATTAGTTCACTCAAAGGGATGAAACAAAAGAATAATCAAACAAAAGAACTACGGGTCTTAAGCAGAGGATAAATTGCTCAGTCTGGGGCAGTTCTGGGCAGCCCGCAACTTAAAAAAGAAGCATTTGTCAGATACTCTCAGGGGCAGAAAACAACTGAGCAATAGCTGAATTTTGCTGTTCCTGTGCCCCTAAAAAATCATGATTTTTCATTTAGAGGTAGATCTGATAAGTTCCATTTACAGAGAATACTTAAACATTAAAATACAAAGAAGTGTTTCAACTTCATTGGTTATTACTGTGAGAAAGTAATATGAGGGTATGCAAAACTATTACAGACATTTCAAGGCTTGGAGAAGGCTGAAAAGGACAGTAAGTTATGGTTTAAAAGGAGGCAAGAGTATCAAGAAATGTACAAAACCAACATAATCTTCATCCCATGAGAACATCATGCAATAAACGAACTATTATGATTACGATATTATAGAGCTTTGTGATCTCATACACAACTTCATTCTTCTGCATATTTTCCTTTGTTATAGCCTGAATTAAAATCTATCTCATTACAGTTGAAAGCACATCTTGAGTTCTTCATTATACTTTAAAATGGCTATTTGCCTGGGAATTTCTTCAGTCTTCTAAAAACTCTTACAGCAGACAAATGGTAAAAAGAGTTTATAGAATGAACTAACACATGACTTCCAAGATTTTACATATAACACAAATATAATGGCAAACTCTTAACAGAGAAGTGAGTGGAAGTGAGTTTTAAATCCATTTATATTGCTAAAGTATGCAAACATGCTGGTCAATGGAACTGCACTGGTTTATGGAGCTGCAGTAATGACACAAGTATATAAATAAAGGGAGAAGCAAGGAGAAACTAATCTCTGCATAAAGAGTGACCACACTGCTACCTAAGCATACGGGGCAGCCAAAACGACAACACTGTGGCTGGATTCTTCGAGTTCTGACACCTGGGTCCTAGGCAACCACACAACTTTCGAACAGCAATTACAGCTGGTCCAAGCTGCTTACAAATGAACACTAAATCCAAGTAATTAGCTTTCCATATAGAATCTTTTTTTTAAATAAAAACTAATAGCAGAAGACAGACAATTGGTTAAGTTACCACTTAAGACTGATGTTGTAAGCCTAAGCTTGTCTGTAGCTTAAATAGTAATTCAATATAGTTCTATTATTTTTTAAGTACAGGTCATCTAAAAAACATGATGATTTCAGCTCTCAAGTAGGTGTCTACATGATGAAGTTAAAGTCATTCAGAACATGACACATGCACACCATTTAAATATTTTAAGACTCATTTTAAAATCAAAATTTTGTTCTCCAAACTCTCAATTATTTCTGTATTTATTGCTGTTATTTAGATGAGAATATGCCTTTAAGCAAGCAAACTAGGGAGGCTGAACCTGTTTAAGAGGACTGTAAACCACAGCTCTATAAAACAGCTATCATTTTATTGCAGGCTTCCAGGTTTACTTAGTAAGAATCTGTAAATTTGCTAGGTAGTGATTAAAGTTTTATGCTCTAAAAAAATACATTGCCTGAACACACATAATTTCCCTCAGTGAAGGTTTCAAGCGCAGCATTTATTTCTTCTATGGCAAGAATGTGCAAAAATGTACTCCCTTTAGCAGATACTGAAGTAAATGGCATTATTCCCATAATATCTGGCTTTCACAGAGCACTTTTTACCTACAGAATTCCAAGTCAGTTAGCTTTGCTTTACTTGGAGCAAGCTGATGGCAGAACCATATAGAACA